GTCGGATTTCTTTAGTTTACTTAATGTTAGGTCTACCTCGGGCTTCACTAACTGCCATGGAGGAGAAGTGAACAGCCGAGTGGGGGCTATGGTTTCAAGATTGATTTGGGCAGCAGAAACAACAGATTGTATCCTTATTCCAAGGGGTGGAATAAGAGATGGCTTTTTATTGTATAGATTTATGTACAGAGGATTAAAAACACAGTCATATGCTGGATTGTATTCAGTAGAACGTAATTTAGATATATAATGTAAAGATAATTTAATGCGTTGGTGTTGAAGGGATGGCTCATCAGCCTCCACATACAAACTGTGAAGAGGTGAAGTACGGAAAGCTCCAAGACAAAGTCTCAGGCCTTGGTGATGAATGGTGTCTAATACTTTTAAATTGCTCTTACAAGCCCCACCATAGATGAGGGAGCCGTAATCAAGTTTTGAGCGTACAAGAGCTCTGTATAGTTGGAGGAGGGTTTTCTGATCCCCTCCCCACTTGGAATTAGAGACAACTTTTAACAAATCTAGGGCTTTCAGACATTTATTCTTTAAGTATTTGATATGTGGTAAAAAGGTTAAATGATGATCGAAAATTATACCCAAAAAATTCGCTTCTTTTACAACTTTAATGGGGTTGTTATCTAATATTAGTTCCGGGTCTTTGTGAGGTTTATATTTTCTGCAAAAATGAATACAGTTAGTTTTAGATTTGGAAAATTTAAAGCCATTTTCTAGACACCATTTTTGGATTTTATTTAAACATAGCTGTAATAGCCTTTCAATAGTATGCATGTTTTTGCCACGACAGGAAATATTAAAATCATCCACAAAAAGCGAACCATCAATAGAATCATTTAAAACTTTTGATAAACTGTTAATCTTAATACTAAACAATGTGACAGACAAGATACTGCCTTGTGGGACACCCTGATCCTGATTATAATGATCAGACAGGGTAGAACCCACGCGGACTTGAAATTGTCTGTCAGATAAAAACTTGGATATAAATTGAGGCAAACGGCTTCGCAATCCAAAGACATGTAAGTCTTTTAAAATACCGTGCTTCCATGTAGTGTCATATGCTTTTTCTAGATCGAAAAAGATAGACACTGCATTTTACTTATTTACAATGGCATTCTTAACGAATGACTCCAGTCGAACTAAATGGTCAATGGTACTGCGGTTTTTACGGAAACCACATTGAATGTTGGTAATTAAGTCATTTGATTCCAAGTACCATGTTAATCTATTATTGACCATGCGTTCCATGGTTTTGCAAACGCAGCTTGTTAATGAAATGGGTCTATAATTTGAAGGATCAGTATGATCACGTCCAGGTTTGGGTATGGGAACAATTATAGCATCACGCCATGAAGAAGGAAATTCTCCTGATGTCCAGATTTTATCAAAAATCATCAAAAGGGTTTCTAAACAGGGTTGCGGTAAATGTTTTAAGAGTTGATAATGTATATTATCAGACCCCGTAGCAGTGTCATGAGCTTGCCCAAGGGCAGTATTGAGCTCATGAATGGAAAATATTTCATTGTAATCCTCCCCATTGTCTGAATTAAAATTTATTGGTTTCTTTTCTTGCTGCTTTTGATATTTTTGGAATTTAGGGGCATAGTTCGAGGAGGAAGAATGTTGAGCCAGAGTTTCACCAAGTTTATTAGCAATATCAGAAGTATTTGTTAATAAGTCATTCCCACTTTTAAGGTGGTGAACACTAGATTTAGAACCCTTACCTTTAATTTTCTTAATCATGTTCCATACCTTAGATATCGGCGTACGTGAATTTATCTTGGAGACATAAGTTTGCCAAGACTGACGCTTGTTTTGTTTAAAAGTACGCCGTGCTTTAGCGTTTAATATTTTAAATTTATTTAAATTGTGGACCATAGGATGGCGACGGAAATATTGTTCAGCTTTTTTCCTTGCCTTCCTAGCTAGTTTGCAATCATTGCTGAACCATGGTTTACGTATGTGAGGATTTGAAGAGGACTTCGGAATACATTCATCAGCTATTTGATTTAGTGTATCGGAAAAAAGTTTTATGGGATCAGAAACATCAATAAAACCATCAGGTTTTAGATGATTAGAGCAAAGGGTTGCATATAAAGCCCAGTTTGCCTTAGTAAAATTCCATCGTGATGACGAAGAAACATCAGATGGTGTGTCACAGATTGTAAAATGGTAGGAAAATGGTCGCTTCCACATAGGTCATTGTGGACTGACCATTCAAATTCATCAAGTAAATTAGAGTCTACAACGGACAGGTCTAAACAAGAGTAAGTGCCAGTTGCAGGATGTAGATACGTGTGAGTACCATCATTGAAAATACACAAATCATTATTCAAGAGAAAATCCTCAAGTATCTTTCCTTTATTATTTGTGTCATTACTACCCCAAAGAGGGTTATGGCCATTCAAATCTCCCATGATAACACAAGGCTTAGGGAGTTGGTCATAAAGTGCTTGAATATCAGACTGTCGAAGAGAGTACGACGGTGGTACATACAATGAACATAATGTAAAAACAATATTTAATGTTACAGTACCGCAACAGCCTGAAGAGGGGTATTGAGAGGAACAGGACTGTGAATGACGCCCTGCCTCACCATAACAGAAGACCCTCCAGTTGCTTTATCCCCTGGAGGGGAAAAGCAATGGTAGGAGTCGTACATTCGTAAATCAAATTTATCTGTTGCTTTCAGGAAAGTTTCCTGTAAACATAATGCTGATGGTTTTAAATCTTGAATGAATAGCTGAAGGTCATTAAAATTATTCCGAAGTCCTCGACAATTCCATTGTATTAGGTTAGCCGAGCAACTCATGGTGGTTCGACTGGAGATCGTGAACGGGAGGAAGACCCTCTCCGTTGAATTGGCGGAGATGGGGTGATTTCCATATCTAGAGGTTCAAAGGGGTTATGAACCTCCAGAGGGACTGTCAATGGTAAAGGCACCACAATGTTTTTCAGGGCCTTAGAATCTTTTTTCTTTTGTCGTTTTCTTTCTTCTTTGGACATAGACACATTTTTCATTTCAGGGATAGGTTCAGGTGCAGGAGCAGATTCTGGAAGAGGTTCTGTAGAAAGTACAGTTTGTGAAGCTGTTGAAGATGAAACGTTTGTCTTGGCAGTATTAACTGGAAACAAAAGGGTCTGCTCGTCTGAGACCCAGTTAATAGCTGTTTGGCATGCAGCATCAACTTTGAGTGGAGACGAGGAGACCGCAGCAGAGTAGGTCAACATGCTAGAGGAATTGGGCGACTCTTGGTTTAATAAATTCTTAGCAGCTGTGAATGAAATGTCGTTAGTGTGTTTTATTTTTAGAATTTTTGTTTGTCTCACAAAACAGGGGCAAGATTTAAAGGAAGACATGTGATCGCCGCTGCAGTTTGCACATTTGATGGTATCTGTGCAGTCTGTGCTATCATTGGACTTACTGCAGCGGGAGCAAACAGGCGAGTTACGGCAAGATTTCGCACCATGTCCAAACTGTTGACATTTGAAACAACTGAGTGGATTTGGTATATATACATCCACTCCGATGTTAAAATACCCTGCTTTAATAGATGTTTGAATCTTCGTGAGAGCAAACGTGAAGAGATAAGTATTTGTTTTTATGAAATTCTCACCATCTTTCCTTGAGAATCTTTTCACAGAGGTCACGCCTTGATTCTTCAGCTCTGTTGCGATCTCCTCCTCAGACATATCAGAAAGACATTTCGCACGGTCCCGTACAATGCCACGACATGAATTCAGAGTCTTGTGCACTGAGACAACAATCTCAGTATTTGCGAAATGATTGCCTGGAGCAGATTTAGAGATTGCTGTCTCCGAGCACATTCCACAAGCAAAGAACCGGACCGGAGACGAGTAACATTTGAAACATTTCCACAGATGCCTTCAATTGATTTGGAAATTACGAAGGGGTTGAGTTTTAGGGGCTGACCATCAACTCCTTCTACAACAAGAAATCGTGGCCAAGAATCGATATTTGGTACAGTATCTTCATCAGAAGATATTGCAATATCTGTGTCTACATGCCTCCTTTTAGTTTTAGATCTAGAACCAGAGTGAAGGGGGGTAGCCATGATGAAAGAAAGATGTCCACACCCCTGCTCCCCACCCTCCATGGAGTGACAACAAGGACAGTGATGTAGTGGAAACCGACTACAAACACCAGGGCTACAGGGGTGCTATACTCCAGCAAAAAGGACACAGGTAGCTATTTTAGTCAAACAGGGTTAAAAGTCAGACTGGTTCCGCCCAAGACAGTTATCTGATGACAAATAGAACCCGGAGGTCATTGATGCCAGATTGGCCCATGAGCCACCGCCTTCTGGCGTAAGACTCTAGGCAATGTATTCAATCCAAAATTGTTAATTCATACAAGTTATGAATGGCCAAGACCAATATATACATTAAATACAACAGAGGTGTGTATATACAATGTTACGCACAGGGCCTGGCATGACCAGCCGATTGATAAGACCGGGCCCATCTTACCACCCGTCTGGGCGAAGTAAGGGTCGAAGTAGTGTGTTGGGCAAAGGAACACAGTTCTAGGAACCAGTGCCCTCAACTACCAGACTCCCGTCCTCCGCCGACACAGGGACGCAACCCACGGCAAACAGGTTGCCCATTTTAGTCGCCTCTTATGACCAGCAATGGGAGGCTGTGGAAATATTCTACCCCGGTTCCACACGGGGGAAGAGCGATTAGCGTTACCCAGCACTCACCACGAGGAGGTTGCTCTTCACGAGTGCCTTAAGATTTAGAAATACACAAATACATATAAAGCATCACAGAAGAAATATACTACAACTAACCTTCAAATCCATGAAATTAACACGTCCATTGGCTCCATGAATTAAATTCTGAATGTTTTGTTTGTTTGTTGTTTAACGTCGCACTCAGCAATATTCCAGCTATATGACGACGGTCTGTAAAGTAATCGAGTCTGGACCATACAATCCAGTGATTGACATCATGAGCATTGATCCACGCAATTGGGATCGATGACATGGATCAGACAAGTCAGCGAGCCTGACCACCCGATCCCGTTAGTCGCCTTTTACGACAAGCATAGTCGCCTTTAATAAAACTATGGCTAAAATAGAATTATAACATAAGTTGTATATACAAAATATCACTCTGCCACAACTACACAGGTGGAAGTTCATCATCATTGCAGCAGCACCCGAATCACTGGTATCATCAGACTGATTACATCTGTCATCCATGTCAATATGATCACCTTTCATCAATCTGAACACAATATCTTGGACTCTGATGCAAAGACTAGATTTTGTGAACTTTCTGAAAGGGGATGATACAATGCCCTTAAACCCATGACACTTTCTTCCTGCACAATGATGAAATGGCCTCAATTCATTAAGTGATTTTTGAATTGACTCTATCTGAGAAAAACAAATCCTTTTGGAATGTCTGGTTGACTCGTTTGACTCCAAGAGATATCCTCAGGTTGTCACAAACTTTGAATATTGCACTTGCTGCACCTGTTGCTGTTATGACGTTTTTTGTCTTGTTGGCACCAAGTTGTTTGATGAGCGCCTTCTGATTCTTTATGCTGTGTTCCTGCACTAGGTCAGCCTCAACACAATTTGAAATTCCTCCCTTGGTGTTAATGAAAGCTGTCTTAAGGACAAGTTCTTTCATCATTGGAGAGAGCAAGTAGCAGACTTTAATGAGAAAGTCAATATTCTCTACAAAATATTTACTCTGTGAAGAATGGGCAAACAAGAATGGAATATTCATCTTGGCATTATGGATAAGTCTATTACTGTCTCCCTCTTTGGCTGTGTCATCAAGCTCCATTAAAGCCCAGTGGGATAGTTGCTGGCAATAACTGTAGACTTCACCAGGTTCAAACTGAGACTTTTCTTCCAGCACTGTACCATCAGCATTTACATGAAAAATCAAATACATTCTTTCACAAGAATCCTTGAACGTTAAATCAAGGTATCCATAGTAGACAAGGAAAGCTCTTAAAACTGCCTCTGACGCTTTGGTTTTCTCTTCCAAAGCTGTGTTGTTGTCATCAGTGATACCAAAGTATTCACGTGCCTGTTCCACAATAACAGCTTTTCCAACATGAACAAGTAGGTCATGATGAGACTGAAAATTCCTCTTCCATTAACATCTGTCATGTTAAACTTGGCTTTGTAGAAGTATAGGGTCCCTGGCTGTCTAATTGACCTTGGGCTGAACAAAGCCTTGTATGCCTTCTGTGAAAACAAATATACAGTGTCAGTGTATTATATACACATAGTGTGATGGCACTGTTACATAACTCACGAGCAGTCAAAAGTTTTAACACTTGACTTTCCGTATTAGAATCCTGACATTGATGTGAAAACAGTGAAATACAAGTTGTTACTAGTATATCATAAGGAACTATATTTTTTCTTTGCCCTCATAAAATGTTTCTGTTGGCTATATAAATATTTTCGTTTTCATAAATATGTATAAATGAAATACAAAGGCACATGACATGAAATTGTGACAATATTGATAATTTGATTGGTATAATGTGAACAAATGATGTTGCAAGGTCGAGTCCAGTCAAGAAAAGATGAAATACCTCCAAAAAGTCCTGCTTGTTGTGCCACCATTCAATAACAAATGGTCCAAGATCATCAAATCTTTTGGCAGGTGTAGGAAAAAGTGCTCTGAGACTCTTGGCACCCTCAAGCCTTACCCTGGTGAGCTGATCCCCACCGACTGGAAGATGAAGTTCCCTTAGCGCTTATTGGTCACCTGTATAACGAGTAAATAATTTGAATATAATATTTATTAGTTAGATAATCATTTCAAATTGTTATTGTTTCTAAAAGTAGATTCATCTTATTTCACAATGATAACCTGTTGTGACTACTGTTATGATACTAGGTTACACACAACCAAATGTTTTTCCCATAGACTTCTATAGTAACGTTATGATTTTTTTAAAAACAAGTATTTGTCACAGAGTGACGAAATATCCCCCGCCTGTACACCATAGTACCAAATATGAAGACAATCCAGCGATTAGTTCTTGAGATATTGTGGCAACACCGTTTTCCAACTCCAAAAACAGATTTGCCTGCTGTGACCTTTAAAATGGGGTCAAGGTCACCAAATCTGACAGGTGTATGCGGTGTCTGTATATACACCATAGTTCCAAATATGAAGACAATCCAGTGTTTAGTTCTTGAGATATCGCGGCAACACCGTTTTCCAACTCTAAAAGCAGATTTGTCTGCTGTGACCTTGAAAATGGGATCAAGGTCACCAAAACCGACTGGTGTCTGCGGAGTCTGTATATACACCATAGTTCCAAATATGAAGACAATCCAGTGTTTAGTTCTTGAGATATCGCGGCAACACCGTTTTCCAACTCTAAAAGCAGATTTGTCTGCTGTGACCTTGAAAATGGGATCAAGGTCACCAAAACCGACTGGTGTCTGCGGAGTCTGTATATACACCATAGTTCCAAATATGAAGACAATCCAGTGTTTAGTTCTTGAGATATCGCGGCAACAAACAGGTGGGACGTACGGACGTACGTACGGACGGTCGTGAATACTATATCCCCCGCTTCGCGCTTTCGCGCGGCGGGGGATAATAACTAAGCATTCAACAGCTATTACCTGTACGTGTGTGCACAGTTTGGCCTTAGAGCAGCAATAAAAAAAATAAAAATGACTAGCTTAGCCAGCTCCTTTTCCGAGTACCGGAAGCTAAACACACCACCCCCAGTTTCGCACCAAATGTCACCTACTTGAAAATAGCTGTGGGTAACATTCAGCATAAGTCATCATGTTGAAAAAGACAGTACTAAATATAGAAAACATGGTCAGTTTTAATAACTTGATGGATGTACATTTGAAAGACATAAAAATCTTACAGAATATCCTCCAATCACAGCCTGCAGATATCTCTCGATCTGCACTGAAGGCTCCCTACGAAAACCGCACTCTCCAAACTGGTACTGATTTTGTGTAGTAGAACCTGTAGACAAATCAGAATATATTTGCACTTGTCAAATCTGTGATTTATATATTGTATATATATGTAGCTTCTCAGAAAAAAAATGGAAATTGGATTAAACTTCACTACTTGTTCCTATCCAGCATGTCTATATGGCACCAGAATACATAGTTTTGATGCACAGAAAGAGTTGTGAGAGTTTAATGATGTACACTTCATCAATGTTTTACAAAAGTTATTTCTGTATTAATAAAGAAGTTTTTACCTTCATGCACTGACCATGGAAGTTCATTTATATTTCATAAAAGATGGTGGTCAGGGGTCAATTCTATAAATGATTGAGGCTGCATAGATCATATCACCCTAAAATATGTTTTCGACTAAAAAAATTGAACAAATCTTTAAACCTCAAAACCAGTTACAATACATATTTAAAATTGAGTAGTGGTCTGTTGTTTGCCTTCCTTTGCTGACATCATCAGAACATAGCAGAGTCTGCTACATTCATGGAATATGGTTTTGACACTCATGACATGATGCGATTGATATTGTTTGAGATTGCTCGAACTTACACCATCCATTGTTTATATAATTAAACACTCAAATGGCTGTCAGCATTTGGTAAATCATCTATGGAGGGGCTATCACAAATGTTTGTGCTTTCATATACTCCAAAAATCAAAAGTATAATCATCCATGATATAGGCTGGTGACATAAGTACACATGGAAAGGAATCAGAAAAAAATCTCAAAATTGGACAGAGCATGGAATTCAGGCCAACAGTAAGCAAGGGACACATTAAGTAGCTTTAAAGTCATCATATATGTAAGGCTGGATAATGAACTTTACCAGAAAATAGGAAGTAAAGGGGTGCATTGTTAACAGCAATCTCAAACACTGACCAGTGAACCATACCGCCTATTAAAGCCGAGAAATTGAAATGGACCCTCAAGTAGAAAAAAGCTTTTTGAAACCACAACATGGAAGGAAATTACACTTAACTCTATTGATTTATTTAGTTAAGACTTTAAAATACTTACAGGACATCAAACATTCTTACTGTTTAATGTTTCAAGGTGGCTAAACTTGCTTATTTCAGTTATTTGCCAGTTTCAATAAAACAAAGTTAAAATTCCATATAATTTTGAAAATGTACAGCTTATCCTGACATAAATGTAATTCTTTTTATTCACAATTAACAGTGTCATGCAATACCAGCTTAAAATAGTGTTTCTCTCCAATAATTTATGGGTTTATAGGGGAATGAAAGATACAATGCATTTTACTAAACAGGGGAGATAATTTAGTTTTGTCGAACACTATCACATTCTTTACAGATGATTTCAGAACCATAATGTTACATTCCAAAAGAGCCAGTGGATATTATTTTCATCTAAGCAGGTTCTGGGACTGGTATATAGCCCTTACTTCATGTTTGCAAACTAAAAAACTGCACAGTGAGGCATTAAGGGAGCACTGTCAGAAATGTCTAGTGCATGAGGGTGATCTTATTATGGCACTTGATAGTGAGCAACAGAGGGGCCTCAAGTGGACTGGGGTTCTTAAATGTACTTACTGTACCTACATGTCCAAGTTCCACAACTTCTACAAGGTAATAAAGCGCAGCGAGGCAAAACAAGGGTTGTCGATCACACACTGCCAACACCGGACTTCGGATCAGCTTCTCCAAATGCCAAATTCGATGTCGAAACTCCTACTTCTTCTGCATGAGTGCACATATACCTCCCCAGTCAACATCAGGCATGTGAAAAGCTGAAAAAAGTGTTCAGACAATATCAAATGGCAAACCAGTTTGGATATAACAGCCAGGAGTCAGTTCTTGAGGGGACAAAATAATTATTTGAAAGTCATATGAGTGAAAAATAAGTCTGTTTTTAGAAACTTAATAGAAAAATAGCATCATTCATTCACACAAGAGCACCTAACAGAAAGACATATTGGTATGTTACATTGTTTACTATAAATAAGGGGATGTTTGACATATTCTGCTGTCAGCAGTGTACATGCTTCATACTCAAGATAACGGCATCGCGTAACTTAACTGGCAAGCGATTGACACAAGGCAGAAATTGTTGTGGCAGTGGTGACTTTATCCTAATTTGTTGTCAAATTCATCAGTTTCAACAAATTCAGAAGGCAGGAGGAGGGCTTGTTGGACAGAGGTATCCTGGGGGGTTCGTGCTGAGTTCGACCACAATACGAAGCAACATTCATTTCCAGCCCATCCAAATGCTCCATTCAACCCAAAATGTCCCCAACTTCACTGTCATTATTTTTAAATTTGCCTCCATGGTGTATCCATGGTGAAATATAAACAGAAAAGCATGTAAAGTATGAATTACTGAAATGTGCACTCACCCTACAGACAAATCAGAATATATTTGCACTTGTCAAATCTGTGATTTATATATTGTATATATATGTAGCTTCTCAGAAAAAAATGGAAATTGGATTAAACTTCACTACTTGTTCCTTTCCAGCATGTCTATATGGCACCAGAATACATAGTTTTGATGCACAGAAAGAGTTGTGAGAGTTTAATGATGTACACTTCATCAATGTTTTACAAAAGTTATTTCTGTATTAATAAAGAAGTTTTTACCTTCATGCACTGACCATGGAAGTTCATTTATATTTCATAAAAGATGGTGGTCAGGGGTCAATTCTATAAATGATTGAGGCTGCATAGATCATATCACCCTAAAATATGTTTTCGACTAAAAAAATTGAACAAATCTTTAAACCTCAAAACCAGTTACAATACATATTTAAAATTGAGTAGTGGTCTGTTGTTTGCCTTCCTTTGCTGACATCATCAGAACATAGCAGAGTCTGCTACATTAATGGAATATGGTTTTGACACTCATGACATGATGCGATTGATATTGTTTGAGATTGCTCGAACTTACACCATCCATTGTTTATATAATTAAACACTCAAATGGCTGTCAGCATTTGGTAAATCATCTATGGAGGGGCTATCACAAATGTTTGTGCTTTCATATACTCCAAAAATCAAAAGTATAATCATCCATGATATAGGCTGGTGACATAAGTACACATGGAAAGGAATCAGAAAAAAATCTCAAAATTGGACAGAGAGCATGGAATTCAGGCCAACAATAAGCAAGGGACACATTAAGCAGCTTTAAAGTCATCATATATGTAAGGCTGGATAATGAACTTTACCAGAAAATAGGAAGTAAAGGGGTGCATTGTTAACAGCAATCTCAAACACTGACCAGTGAACCATACCGCCTATTAAAGCCGAGAAATTGAAATGGACCCTCAAGTAGAAAAAAGCTTTTTGAAACCACAACATGGAAGGAAATTACACTTAACTCTATTGATTTATTTAGTTAAGACTTTAAAATACTTACAGGACATCAAACATTCTTACTGTTTAATGTTTCAAGGTGGCTAAACTTGCTTATTTCAGTTATTTGCCAGTTTCAATGAAACAAAGTTAAAATTCCATATAATTTTGAAAATGTACAGCTTATCCTGACATAAATGTAATTCTTTTTATTCACAATTAACAGTGTCATGCAATACCAGCTTAAAATAGTGTTTCTCTCCAATAATTTATGGGTTTATAGGGGAATGAAAGATACAATGCATTTTACTAAACAGGGGAGATAATTTAGTTTTGTATAATCGAATTTCCATTTAACTGAAACCAGCTTCTTACTGGAAGAGTTACTTCCCTTCAATTATGCAATTATGGGATTACATGTACAATAAGCAAGCTCGTCTCAAACGTAACTCAGTGTCACTTGGTTAATTGACTTCTCACGAATCAAATGTGAGAGAGTGAGTTAAGATTTAACGTCACATCGGCAGTATTTCAGCCATATTGTGACGAGAAGTACATTAATAATACATAAATGTATACAACATAAAAAGCTGTCAACGATGGACAGTAAAATTACTAGAATATCACAGATTAATATTTAAAACTAGCATACAACTATAAAAGATAACACTATAGATAACGGTACAACATTAAAAGGGCTATAGATCGCCAGCCACTGAAGAGAGATCACCATGCTAGGGTCCATGGGGACTTACAGTACTTTTGCTACCTGCATGGACCCCAGCCGGATTTACATCATCCCTTCCGCTGTTGGTGATTAATGACAAATCTAGCCAGAATAAATGAACATATATACTACGTCTAAAAACGAGCAGAAATAAACGTACTTTGAAAGACGTGGTCTTACATACCCTCTCAGGGGGACAATAATTTTACACTACTTTAACCCCCTTCGAGGATATAGCCACTAACAATCTCGGTTACTGAATAATTCTACCAATTATAAAAGTTATTTATTTAATTAGAAACTATAACAATCAAAATTTATGCAGTAATTTGATTTCCTTTAAAAAACCAATAATTAAATGTCTACTTACCTGATAAAAAAGATCCTTGATACATGATACCTTGAAATATTTATCCCTTGTGATGGAAAAATCAATGCAGTCAAGCAGGACATGCTTGACCGTGATTCTTTCATCACAAGGGACGCTGAATGGAGGATCCTCACCCTTTAAAATATATTCATGAGTATAACATGAATGGCCAATACGACATCGTCTTAAAATGACCTCTTCAAATCTGGACTGACAACCCAAGTAGGTAGAACCGATATTTGCTTTTATTGCATGTAATTTATTTATACCCACTTGGGTGTCCCACTTCTTCTGCATTAGATCTCTGATGTAAGATCTAATGACAGGTTTATAATCACTGTATGGTAAAAGAAGTGGTGTCACAGATTTGTTGAGTGCTGCTTTTGCGGCAGCATCAGCCAGTGTGTTACCAACAATCCCAACATGGCTTGGTAACCAACAAAAAACGATGTCATATCGGCCAGTCACAAGATCATTAAATAACTCAAGAATTTCAATTAAAAATGGATGTTTACATGACATATTTTTAATAGCCTGAAGGCACGAAAGTGAATCTGAAAAAATAATGAAGTCTTTATATTTTGATTTCTTCTTGATATATTTTAGTGCTGTTAAAATTGCGTGCGCTTCTGCTGTGAATATGGAACTATTATCGGGTAAACGTGAAGATACTGTTCTGGATCCAATGATGGTGGCACTAGCAACTGCGCCACCATCCTTGGATCCATCTGTAAATATAGATTTATATGTCATATAAGTGTTTCTTAATTGATTGTATTCTTGTTTATAAATAAGTGGATTTGTATCAGATTTCTTAAGTTTAGTTAATGTGAGGTCTACAGTTGGTCTTACCATCTGCCAAGGAGGCGATGAAAAAAGTTTTGTCAGAGCAATATCCTGAAAGTTAATGTTCGCAGCAGAAACGACTGATTTAATTCTTATTCCTAGTGGTGGAACAAGAGATGTTTTCTTATTGTAAATATCTTCGTACAGAGGATTAAATACGCATTTAAAGGCTGGATTTGACTGATTGGAATATAATTTAGTGATGTATTGTAAAGATAGTTTCAGACGGCGTTGTTTAAGAGAAGGCTCATCCGCCTCAACAGACAGACTTGGAATAGGAGAAGTGCGAAAGGCTCCAAGGCAAAGCCTCAGTCCTTGGAGATGGATAGAATCAAGTTTTTTAAGTTACTTTTACAGGCTCCACCATAGACGATGGAGCCATAATCAAGTTTGGAACGGATCAGTGACCCGTATAAGTGTAGGAGGGTAGTCTGATCCCCTCCCTACTTGGAACTAGAAACAACTTTCAGTAGATCGAGTGCCTTCAGGCATTTAGCTTTAAGGTATTTAATATGTGGGAGGAAAGTTAAGTGATTATCAAAAATAAGACCCAAGAACTTGGCTTCCTTAACAACTTTGATAGGGGTGCCATTCAGAAATAGTTCAGGGTCCTTATGCGGTTTATATTTTCGGCAGAAATGTTTGCAATTAGTTTTTTATTTGGAAAATTTAAACCCGTTTTCTAGACACCACTTGTTAATTTTATTAAGACATAATTGTAATTGCCTTTCAATTGTGTGCATATTTTTACCCCGGCAAGATAGATTAAAATCATCCACAAAAAGTGATCCATCAACTGAATCATTTAAAACTTTTGACAAGCTGTTAATTTTTATACTGAATAAAGTGACAGACAAAATACTGCCTTGTGGGACACCCTGATCCTGATTATAATGATCAGACAGGGTTGTACCCACTCGGACTTGAAATTGCCTGTCTGTTAAAAACTGGGATATAAAATGAGGCAGACGGCCTCTTAATCCAAAATCATGAAGATCTTTTAAAATACCATGTTTCCATGTTGTATCGTAAGCTTTTTCTAAATCGAAAAAGATCGATACAGCATGTTGTCTATTTACAATGGAATTTTTAATGAACGATTCTAAACGCACTAAATGATCGATAGTACTTCTGTTCTTCCGGAAACCACATTGTATATTGGTAAGAAGATTATTTGTTTCCAAGTACCACACTAATCGATTATTTACCATGCATTTACAAACACAGCTAGTTAGTGAGATAGGTCAGAATGATCCCGCCCAGGTTTGGGTATTGGTATAACAATGGCATTATGCCATGAAGGTGGAAACGTCCCAGATGTCCAAATATCATCGAATATAGTCAACAAAGTTTCAAGGCATGATTCGGGCAAGTGTTTCAGTAGCTGATAATGAATATTATCAGCGCCTGCTGCTGTATCATGAGCTTGCCCTAAGGCAGTATATAGCTCATGTAGTGAAAATACCTCATTGTAATCTTCACCATTATCAGATGTAAAATTTACTTTTTTCTTTTCCTGTTGGAGCTGATATTTTTGAAATTCAGGAACGTAATTTGATGAAGACGAATGTTGAGATAACGTTTTCCCAAGTCTATTGGCAATATCAGATTTATTCGTTCGCAAAGTATCGCCATCCTTTAGATGGTTTACTGTAGAATTTGCAATTAGCATCAAACCACGGTTTACGAACACGTGGGTTGACAGAGGACTTAGGAATTGATTCATCAGCAATTTCATTCAGTTGATCTGAAAACAACTGAATCTGGTCAGTAACATTCTGAAAAGACGTAGGTTTTAATTTATCTTTGCATAAAGATTGAAATAAAAGCCAATCAGCCTTCACAAAATTCCATCGAGGTGAAGGTGGATCATCAGCGGGATTAATGGGCTTAAGCACCGTGGGGAAATGGTCACTCCCACACAGGTCATCGTGGACGGACCATGAGAATTCATTTAACAAAACGGAATCCGTCAAAGACAGATCTAATGATGAATACATACCAGTTGCAGGGTGTAAGTAAGTGTCTGAGTCATCATTAAAGATGCAAAGGTCATTATCAGAAACAAAATCCTCGATCACTTTTCCCTTTTGATTAATGGTGGAACTTCCCCATAAAGGATTATGCCCATTTAGATCACCCATGATGACACAGGGCTTTGGGAGCTGGTCGTATAGTTTTTGTAGATCATTACGCTGAAGATTTGAAGATGGAGGAATGTATAAGGAGCAAAGTGTGAAGGCAATATGCAGTGTAAGTCTAACTGCAACTGCTTGAAGAGTCGAGTCAAGCGGAACAGGACTGTGAACAACGCCCCGCCGCACCAAAATAGAAGCACCTCCAGTAGCTTTATCTCCCGGAGGAGAGAAGGAATGATACGAACTATACTGCCTTAAATCAAATTTATCTGTATTTTTTAGGTACGTCTCTTGTAAAGAAATTGCTGATGGACTTAAATCTGTTGTTAACAATTGCAATTCGTTAAAATTGTGCCTAAGTCCTCTGCAATACCATTGAAATATATTTGAGTTGGTCATGGCGGTTCTATAGGAGATCGCTCACGTGAACAGGAAGAAGGGTCACCACTCATGGAAGATGGAGTAACATCCATCTCGAGAGGATCAAAGAAGTTCTGAACATCGACAGATGTTTCAGTAAGAGTAGGGATCTTAGTTGTAATTTTCTTGTTTTGTTTCTTCTTTTCTTTCTTGGGTATGTCAGTTGATGGTTTTATACTTGCCGTTTTTCTCAGGAGTTGGTTTAGTTGGGGCCATAACCTGAGTCACAACCTGAGATGCTGAAGAGATGCCACATGATTGACTTTCAGAATCATTGGTCTGACTCTCTGACGTTGTAACCACAGGCACAGGGTGTTCAGAGTGTGCCCATGTCAAGTCAGTTTGACATTCTATAGATCTTGTGGTAGAAGGTCGAGAGACAGCAGCAGCATAGGTTTGCACTGATGGGGGTGACCGGCTGGCAACGACTTTTTTAGCTTCCTGAAAAGAAATGTTGTTTTGACATTTGACTGTCAAGATATCTTTTTCATGTTGCCAAAGAGGACATGATTTTGAAGAGGCAACATGTTTACCCTAACAATTCACACATTTGGGGTCAGCAGAACAATCTGAGGCGTCATGATGTGCACCACAACGGTGACAAACACTCGGCCGATCGCATGATTTGGAACCGTGTCCAAACTTCTGACACTTGTAACATCGGAGTGGATTGGGGACATACACCTCCACTCCGATGTTAAAATAGCCTGCCTTGATAGATTGCGGTATGGTCGACAGTGAAAAAGTGAACAAATACGTATTTGTTGGGACAATGTTATCTCGATCCTTTCTTGTGAAACGTTTCACGGAAGTGACATGTTGATCAATGAGTTCATCAAGAATTTCCTCTTCTGTCATTTTTGCCAGACAACGGGCTCTGTCGCGGATGATGCCTCGACTTGAGTTCAACGTTCTGTGCGCAGAGACAGCAACTTCAGTGTTTGCGAATGTAGTACACCTCAAAAGATTGATAGCTTGCTGTCTCCGTGCACACTCTACCAAAAGAGAACCGCTCCGGAGCCGTGAAACATTCTTGACTTCACCACAAATACCCGCAATGGCTTTAGATATGGCAAAAGGATTAATTTTCAACGGTAGTTGATTTCGTGATTCAACTACTATAAATCGAGCCCAAGAATTAGAATTTTGTGAAACGGAAACATCATCATCAGATGATAAAATCTCAGCTTCGAGACGTCTCTTCTTTTCATTTTGGTTTGAACCAGAAGGATTGTGAGCCATGATGAAATTAATGTATTCAGCACCCCTGCTCCCCACCCACCATGGAGTGCTACAAAGAGCGATGTTTTCCTGCACCGGATCTCCAACATGCAAACATCAGGGATACAGAGGTGTTATACTCCAGTAAGAACAACATTAATAGCTGTATTTGTCTATCAAATAAAATGTCAGGCTGGTTCGGCCCATGGCAAGAAATTGAAGACATACAGAACTCAGAGGTCGAAAGTACCAGATTGGCCCATGAGCTACCGCCTTCTGGCGTAAGACTCCAGGCAATTTTGTCAATCAAAAATTGAGAATTCAAACAAGTAAAGCACAGCCAAGACCAAAATATACATTAAAATACAACACAGTTGTGCATACACAATATTACGCACAGGGCCTGGCATGACCAGCCGATTGATAAGACTGGGCCCATCTTACCACCCGTCTGGGCGAAGTAAGGGTCGAAGTAGTGTGTTGGGCAAAGGAACACAGTTCCAGGAACCAGTGCCCTCAACTACCAGACTCCCGTCCTCCGCCGACACAGGGACGCAACCCACGGCAAACGGGCTGCCCACTTTGGTCGCCTCTTACGACCAGCAATGGGGTGCTGTGGAAATATTCTACCCCGGTTCCACACGGGGGAAGAGCTATTAGCGCTACCCAGCACTCACCACGAGGAGGTTGCTCTTCACGAGTGCCCACGAATCAAAGAATTACCACCAGCGGAAGTGTATTGTCCGGGTAAGTGAGACAATTTTGTGTGCATTTCAGTGTTTTGTGTATGAAAATGACCATCCGGTTCCGGAAACTGAATTTCAGTACATATGGGTAAATTTAAATAGTAATCATTTCATTTTGAATGAAATTCGTCCGGGAACCGAGGTTTCCGGATATCTGAAGTCCGTTTCACCTGACATGCATAAGTATTCAAATAAAATAACCACTACATATAAAAGACTGCAAGAAAGACATTATAACCCATTAAATAGAGGTCACTTGTTCTTTCATTTTCAGGTAAACTAAAAAATTATGAAGAAAAGGCAAATTAGTGTTGCTGACAAGGTAAAAACATCACACCATAAAAAGAAACATGTCATTTCAGTTTATGTGAGCTAAAAGTTGAGGGATTCAACCAATGTTTTGGAAACTTTTGTACTCAGGCTTATATTAAAACTAGTATTATATTACTCATATAACAATCATGATAAAAGTTTTATTACAATTAAAACATGACATTTTTTCCCCCAAACATTACCTCATATTGTAAATTCATTCATCAAATTAGATTACCTTTCTTTCATCTCCTGAAATACCTGACCTATAAAGTCATGGCTATCTGTAAGATTCTGCAGACTTGATTGCTCCCTGAGAAGCGATGGAGATGATAATGATGATAGCTCTTGACAGTCTGACTGTAGCTGCTGTATCACTCTCTCGTTTATTTTATTTCTTGAACTGGGGTGGGACAAAAGTAAGGTCACAACTTGCTCCAAGTCCTCAGATGCAACTGCTTGCATTAGTCCATGTAAATATGTCTGCTGTGGCTGTTTCGAAACTTCAGCAAATGACTCTAAACAGCGAAAAATACTGGTACCATTGTTGTATTTTTTTCATATATCTTAATCCATTACTCATCTGATAGAAATACTAAAAATAATATAATATTTCAGTTTACACTTTTGATAAATGTAGATGGCTTCTGTAGTTACTTAAATTAAAGAAGACATTAACTTTCTCCTATCAAATAACATTTTTATCTCTTCAAAACATAAAAGTACAATTGGTCCTATTTGATATTTGATTTCAGGTATGTACCATGAGTTGAAAATGTAGATGGTAGCTTTTGTTTTGGTGGCAAATCCAAACAATAGTTGTGTTCACCAACTGCAGCCTTTGGTTTTTCATCGGGTTCAGTCCCTAAAACAAAGTAAAGTACTGTGAGCATGTTCAGAAAGAGACAACAATATCAGATAAGCAATCATCAGGACAAGCATGAGTACAATAGGTGCAAAGGAAATATTTTTTTACGCATAAATCATATGTGAAACACATTTTTCCAATAATTTATTATATAGCTTATTTCATTTCAACACATTTACAAACATTATTATTTACTCAAAGTATTCTCTATTACTCTAATAGTATTATGTGTAACATACCACAAGCCATTTACCAGTAGAACAGATTTTGTACACGGTGAGGCTTGCACAGAAAAAGATGATGCTATATTCAAAAATAAAAAAATACATATTAGGCCAATGAAAATTTATGTATCTTAAAGATATGACAAAGGAAAACTAATTCTTAAATTAATCTACAGCTAAATCACATTACTTCCTTATACAACCAAAGTTCCTTTCCAATTTCATATTCACAGAATACAGTACAAATGTAGTATCAGTATCTCTAACTCTATATGTATCTATCATCTGTGAAAAAAAGGGAGAAATAGGCCATACCATCTGATTCTTCATTATGGTGAGTGAGTGAGTTATGGTTTAAAGTCACATCGGCAATATTTCAGCCATATCGTGACTAAATCAAGTTATATAGTCATGAAACACAAAACTGAACTAAAAACCTGTCGACAAAGGACAGTACAATAACTAGAGTATCACAGATTTTAGTTAAAACTAGTTTGAGAGTATATAAAAGAACAATGGTACAAGTCAACAACACAATATCAAAACGGGTTATAGATCGCCAGCAACCAAAGTTCGGCCACCACACTAGGGACCGAGGGGACTTACGATGCTTTTGCTACCTGCACGGCACCCCAGACGGATTCACACCATCCCTTCAGTCGCTGGCGATTGTAGTCGATATTAACCACCAATTAAAACGAACATATATATATATATATATATATATATATATGGGTTCAGTGTTTCAGTTATATCACTATCCTGCTTCAGGGGCCTGTGATTGGGAAAACCCAGGATATCATCATCAAAATATCGACAAGTGTCTTATGTGACAATAAACAAAGGCAAGTTTTGATAATTTGCAATCGTCAAATGTAAAACATTCACGCTGCTATCTGATATTTGATAAAATATAATCGCATATTGCCTTTTGTTGTGAGATACGTTCCCAAAGAGATCACACGGGTGACATTATCTGGTCAGACTGCAGTAGCCTATTTCTTTCCCAAAACCGGAATGAACCTTTTACGGAAGTTGTCGATGTCTTGCCTTGATACGTATGTTATGTACGGAGTCCATACTTCCTTGATGCAACGATTTGTCCCACTTTCTTGAACTCATCAGGTCATATTTAGGACAGGTTATCGCATGGCATTTACCGTTCAGAAACACATTCGGGAGTAGTGCACTTTTTCAGATCCAATTAGCGCTGTGGGGGCTCGAACGTGCTTCGCCGGCTCACCATTTCTGCTAATTAATGCTCTACCACTGGACCACAGGTGCTATCACATGTAATCAGTGCCCGTGTAACGGGTCATTAGAATCCCCATTGACATGCACGTGTAATCAGTAAACAATGAATTGCGCATGCGTGTGACGTGACGGTCCGCACTCCCATTCATCTTTTCTTGAAACCACACCCGCAGTTGTTTTTGTCAACATGACCGACCAATGGGATTAACTGGATTAACGCTTGAAAAGGTAAGAATTTATGGCTAACCCTTGCCCAAAGCAGGCTAACCCTAATGACCGAAAACGTGTGTTTGATCGTAAAGATGTGTAAGTTTCCCTAAGACCGAAAAGGGGTGTTTGATCGTAAAGATGTGTAAGTTTCCCTAAGACTGAAAAGGGGTGTTTGATTGTAGAGATGTGTAAGTTTCCCTAAGACCGAAAACTGGTGTTGGATTGTGAAGCGAGAGTCACCAGAGCGTGAGGCACGGTAACGGTATAACGAGACAGCGTTGGCACTATAGCGTGGTAATTGAGCGGATGGTAGAGCTCGGGCTGTGCCCGGTAAACTGCATTGTTGCCACACATTCTCATGTCGTGACCCTATGCAGATTCACTTGCCAGAACAAAGTAAGTGAAAGTACCCTGAAACACATAATGGCATATCCAAAACACATGTCCTGTCCAGGGGCACAATCCGCAAATTGACCTTTCTGGTAAAACAGTTTTATTCTATCTTCTTGCCAATTTAGAGATTTTGTCTGAGATGATGGCTTTGCTATATGATACTGCGATGTTGTTGTGCTGAATGTAAATAATAATGTAACTGTAGTTATGGAAGATAATCCAGTAATTGAACACTTACAGAACAATACTTATCTTTAATGCCAATTATACAATGTATGCTATTTCTGATGTCACTATCAATACATTGCTATTTGTATGTGTATCATGTTTGGGAGAGGCATTCAGATAAGCAAAATTTGCTTGTTTGCCAATCCCTCCACTTTATGGAAATAAATATGTTTATATCAACTGTTGCAACACAAAAACATGTACTTATAAACAAAGGCTTCGATTGTCTAGTGTTCATTCTAGTTATCAAGAATGCATTTCAATTTGTTGTTTGGCTTCATCTGACATTCAAAATCATGATCATGATGATTTGACTTTGACACTTGACAAAATTATGGTTTTAATACTTAAACAACTACCACCCAAACTACTCCAAACTCTTCTAAAACTCTATAACCTCATATATCTAAACGGACAGGTCCCTTCACCTTGGAAACAAGCCCTGGTCACACCAATCCCCTAACCCAATAAACCAGCTGACCAGGCTAATTCATACAGACCAATCTCCCTAACTTCTAACTTATGCAAAGTAATGGAATCAATGGCAAAAAAACAGGTTACAACACTACTTAGAACAAAACAACATAATAATCCCAGACCAAAGCGGTTTCACTCGTGGACACTCAACCTTAGATAACCTTGCCCGACTAGAGCAGGACATTAAAACAGGCCAACTTACCGGTAACAAACAATATACTACTGGCATCTTTCTAGACTTCTCCAAATCATTCGACATGGTTTGGCATAACGTGCTAATACAAAAACTACAAAAAATAGGTCTTAACGGTCAAATAATTAACTACATCCAAAGTTTCCTAACAAACCGCAAAATCACCGTGGGCATAGACCAAACGCTATCGGACCAATGTCCCCTAGAAAATGGCACTCCCCAGGGCAGCATCCTAAGCCCAACACTCTTCAATATTATGTTTAACAATCTATTCGAGGGACTATCCCCCAAATTAAACACATCAAAATTTGCGGATGATGGAGCCCTCTGGATCCGCACTAAAAGCATAAAAATGGCCCAAAACTTACTACAAAAATCTCTAAATAAAATACAAAAATGGGCTGACAAATGGGGCTTCTCCCTAAACTCAGAAAAAAACACAGGAATAGTATTTAAACACAAAAATATGCAACCCGCCTCCCTTAACCTCCAACTAAACTACAAACCAATCAAATTCCAAATTCCAAATTCGATGAACATCTCACCTGGGATGCTCACATTAAAAACCTAGTAACCAGGTGCAGCAAAGACCTAAACACGTTAAGATGCCTAACCGGCTCCAACTGGGGGGCCTCTAAAAACACTCTCCTCTCACTCTATATATCACTAATTAGATCCAAACTAGACTATGGCAGTGCCATTTACGACACCTTAAACAACTCTCTCATTAAAAAACTAGACTCAATCCAGTATCAGGCCCTAAAACTAATCACACGAACTCAACATGGCACCTCCTCCACCTCACTCCAGGCCTTAACAGGAGAAATGCCACTTAAACTACGTAGGGAACAACTTACCCTAAACTTCTGGGCCGCATCCCAATCAAACCCTCTAATCGAAAACTTAATAAAAAACAATATTAGCCGAAGAAACCAAGCCCTAGCCCGGAAACATCCACTACTGACTCCCAGAAATAAGCTTAAACTTACCCAGCTCAAAATCAGAAATCAAAAGTGTCACTAAACAAAAAATCAACAAAAAATGGCAAAATATATACCAAAACTCAAATAGCCAAATCAGGAAAGTACTAAAAAAACACCTAAATAAACCAAAAATACTACACCCATACAAAAAAATCAACAGAATAATTACTAAACTACAAACAGGCCACACCAAACTAAATAACCACTGTAAAATAGCTAATCTACACACAACAGGAAACTGCCCACATTGCAAACAACAAGAAACACCAGAACACGTACTCATTCACTGCACACACTACCAAACACACCGAACAACACTACAGACCACCCTAAATCTTAAAACCGGACTTACACTAGAATCAATCCTAAATCCACAAAATAAATTAGAAAAATTCAAAGCCTTAAGCATATACCTAATTAAAACAGGACTAATTAGTCATATTTAAACCCCAAATAAAATATTAAAACCAAAACTACCTTATCTAACAACCACCCAACACACACAGCTCCCTTAGTTCATCCCCCACCCACTCTTGGCATTCTTTCCAAATCTCAAAATTTCAAAATTACTATATAAGCAACCCCTAAAGCCCCCCTCCTGGGTTGCACAAACTCACTTTTCCCCTTTTTGGAAACACATTAAATGGCCTGGCCGGGCCTGTGTGCAGTCGGAAAGCGCACGTTAAATCTCCAATATAAGTAAGTAAGTAAGTATGCGAGCAAAGACCACTCGCATTTTTCGCATTTAATTCACGCTCGCTTTAATTTCAAGATTTATAGTATCTATGTCTGCATGTAATTTTTTTAAAATTTTGTGACTAACCCTTAATTGTCCACACAAACACGATCTGTGAACACATTTAGTACCTAACACTTTGTTAGCTTTATTTACCCTACTGCATGACCAATCCCTGAGATATGTGTAATTAATTACACATGACACAGTCATCAGAGATCTGGGATTATCCTACTTAGACTAGTTTATGTATCTATGTTTCATCTTGGATAAATGTATGGGACCAGGGTGCAGACTGGTTATGTCTGGTGCAACTGGCTTTTCTTGTCAACATGCACCCGGTGCAAGTCAAATCAAGTTCCTAAAATCAAAACTTTGCTGTCAGCTTGAAATGTTTATATTCGACAGATATATTTTTCCAGAATTTAATTTCCAATAATAAAGGATGCATATAACGCACATATTATACAGGAATAAATAAGTCTTGTGTACATTGATCAATCGGAAGGGGTGCTAATTGGGATTGTTCACCAGCCAATATTGCTGTAAATATCGCCGTGGGCGCTTCTTAGAGGGGGGCGCTTATTACGTCGAATACAGTATGCTCATAAATATCATATAATCAGAACCTAGTGTAAGCATGGTAACAGTGTTTTAACATGTTTTCGCTTTCTATCTCCAGTTTCCATTTATTCAGTCATACACCTTGTCCATAACCATGGTAACAGTTTTGTTCGTTTGTCAGGCCATGAGGGCAGTGAACGATGCACAGATAGGTGTTGCCCAGATACAGAACATCTCCGACATAGACAAAGCCCCGCCCTACATCTCTCCTAACACCCCTTTGGTGAACCCTAGGACTGGGGAGAGGATACCTCCCACTGGAGCCTCTTCATCAGCAACCAGGTAGGTAGGAGGGAGGGAGGGAAGCAAGAGATGAGAGATGATGTAAGGTGTTCTAGGGTGGGGCCGTCTTGTCGAGGCAAGTGTGTCCACTGGCCTATATCAAAGCTTAGTTTCTACCCTTACCACATCATGGCCATTTTTCTTTGCTTGACCCTGGCACCACCTCGCGTAGATCACGAGTTGTGCCCCTTGTAGTGAAAACGCGACATCCAATCAGAACGCTGTTCTTATCTCGAATAGCTTCACAAAGATGGCGACTACCATAGGCGACGACCTAGTCAATCAGATGACGAAATCATTCATGATTTCATCCCTGACACAAAAACATAGGCAATCATATTTCGATGAAAAAAACATGTCAACAAAGACAGGCAGGTAAATCTCTTCACACGAAGGTGGGTTGGCTAGACAGGTGAGGGGGTGCAGTGAGTGATGTTAGAGTGGGGTAAGGGGGGTGTGAGGTGGGGAGGGTGAGCAGTGAGGTTAGGTGGGGTGAGGGGTTGGTGGGGTGGAGGGAACAGTGTGATAGGCATGGGGGGAGGAGGGGGTAGGGTGAGCAATGAGGTTAGGTGGGGTGAGGGGTTGGTGCGGTGGAGGGAACAGTGGGATAGGCATTGGGGGAGGAGGGGGGAGTTGGGGAGGGTGAGCAATGAGGTTAGGTGGGGTGAGGGGTTGGTTGGGTGGAGGGAACAGTGTGATAGGCATGGGGGAGGGGGTGTGAGGTGGGGAGGGGAGCAGTGAGGTTAGTTGGGGTGAGGGGTGGGTTGGGTGGAGGGAACAGTGGGATAGGCCTGGGGGAGGGGGGTGTGAGGTGGGGAGGGTGAGCAGTGAGGTGAGGTGGGGTGAGGGGTTGGTGGGGTGGAGGGAACAGTGGGATAGGCCTGGGGGAGGGGGCTGCAAGTGAGGTGGGAAGGGTGAGCAGTGAGGTTGGTTTGGATGAGAGGTGGGTGGGCAGAGATGCGTAATAACTACGCTTTTGAACCTCAAATTAGGATTTTACATTTTTCCTACCCAAATTACGACATATTTTTCACATATTATTTACATGTATAAAATATCACAGAGAGCAAATTGTTTATTCAAAGTTAATTACCAAAGTTATTCCATATACAATACCATTGTTTGAAATGTGGCCCCGATGTATGTCACTGATAAGGTTGTCGCTTGCCGTTATGGAACTTGTCTTTTATGAGTACTTTTTCGATGTTTGAATTGATATTCAGTTTCAAGGTTTTGTCATAGTATTCCATACAAACGCAAGTGGAGTCATTTTCCCTGCTTAATTTGAGCTTTATTGTCCTGTTCTAAAAATAGTGCGGCTTGCATGTGCAGCTACATTCCTAGCGTCAGTGCATGTGTACCCATGCATCACATATGTATATGCCTAATGAAAATGTTGAATCTCGAAACCAGCATCATGGCAAGACACTCTTAACATTACTCTTTTTCACATGAAATTACACTGTTTTACCCCACTGATTACTCCAAAGTTTTATTTAGGGTTGGCATCTCGGGGTAGGGTGGGCATGTGAGTGAGTGAGGGGTGGGGGGGGGAGTCAGGTGGGGAGAGGGGGATGTCAGTGAGGATGGAGAGAAGGAGCAGTGACACCCTTGGGTACAAGGTGCGGTGAAATGTGTCCTGGACAGATTCCCTTCTTGTCCTGCACCATTTCGTGTCTTTTCCATGTTTTGTGTATACAATACTGAATGAGTGCAAGGAATTTCGAACCCAATTTTAATGAAATTCCTATGTTAATTTCTATGACATATTTTTTCTCTGTACATTATGTACCGACTAATGCAGAAGATGAAATGTTATCAGACTGCCATGGCACAACATTGACCTGACAACCTGATAAATGATTCAAGTCAAATAGAAGATTCAGTAAAGGGAAGTTCCAATTGCTATTTCAGTAACCAAAGATAACTCAGCAATTAAAATGACAGATGGTACACCAATCAACATCATGAACAGTGTACCGATCGGCCACTACAACACGATGTACGTCCAGACAGGACGCCAGCAGAACCAGGAGGTGGAAGAGGACTTATCCTCTGATTCTGACAACTTTGACAATGAGGAAGACATACAGGAGCAGGTGCGGCAACGGCGTCTGGCTGATGAGGAAACAGCTGAAATACTTAGGGGTGAGTTTCTGCTAATGAGGCTGAAATACTTAGAGGTGAGTTTCTGCTAATGAGGCTGAAATACTTAGAGGTGAGTTTCTGCTAATTAGGCTGAAATACATTGAGGGGAGTTTCTGCTAATGAGGCTGAAATACATTGAGGTGAGTTTCTGCTAATGAGGCTGAAATACTTAGAGGTGAGTTTCTGCTAATTAGGCTGAAATACTTAGAGGTGAGTTTCTGCTAATTAGGCTGAAATACATTGAGGGGAGTTTCTGCTAATGAGGCTGAAATACTTAGAGCTGAGTTTCCGTTAATGAGGCTGAAATACTTAGAGCTGAGTTTCTGTTAATGAGGCTGAAATACATTGAGGTGAGTTTCTGCTAATGAGGCTGAAATACATTGAGCTGAGTTTCTGCTAATGAGGCTGAAATACTTAGAGGTGAGTTTCTGCTAATGAGGCTGAAATACTTAGAGGTGAGTTTCTGCTAATTAGGCTGAAATACATTGAGGGGAGTTTCTGCTAATGAGGCTGAAATACTTAGAGGTGAGTTTCTGCTAATTAGGCTGAAATACTTAGAGGTGAGTTTCTGCTAATTAGGCTGAAATACATTGAGGGGAGTTTCTGCTAATGAGGCTGAAATACTTAGAGGTGAGTTTCTGCTAATTAGGCTGAAATACATTGAGGGGAGTTTCTGCTAATGAGGCTGAAATACATTGAGGTGAGTTTCCGTTAATGAGGCTGAAATACTTAGAGGTGAGTTTCTGTTAATGAGGCTGAAATACATTGAGGTGAGTTTCTGCTAATGAGGCTGAATTACATTGAGGTGAGTTTCCGATAATGAGGCTGAAATACATTGAGCTGAGTTTCTGTTAATGAGGCTGAAATACATTGAGGTGAGTTTCTGCTAATGGGGCTGAAATACATTGAGGTGAGTTTCTGCTTATGAGGCTGAAATACATTGAGCTGAGTTTCTGCTTATGAGGCTGAAATACATTGAGGTGAGTTTCTGTTAATGAGGCTGAAATACATTCAGGTGAGTTTCTGTTAATGAGGCTGAAATACTTTGGGGTGAGTTTCTGTTGATTTTGTTAATTGTACATGGGCCTTATTGTATTTATTGTACATGGGCATCATTGTATTAATTGTACATGGGCATCATTGTATTAATTGTACATGGGCATCATTGTATTTATTGTACATGGGCATCATGGTATTAATTGTACTTGGGCCTCATTGCATCAATTGTACATGGACATCATTGTATTTATTGTACATGGGCATCATTGTATTAAGTGTAAATGGGCATCATTGTATTTATTGTACATGGGCCTCATTGCATCAATTGTACATGGGCCTCATTGTATTAATTGTTCATGGGCATCATTGTATTAATTTCATATGGGCATCATTGCATCAATTGTACATGGGCGTCATTGCATCAATTGTACATGGACCTCATTGTATTAATTGTACATGGGCATCATTGCATCAAATGTACATTGGCCTCATTGTATTAAATGTACATGGGCATCATTGTATTTATTGTACATTGGCATCATTGTATTAATTGTATATGGGCATCATTGCATCAATTGTACATGGGCCTCATTGTATTAATTGTTCATGGGCCTCATTGCATCAATTGTACATGGGCATCATTGTATTCATTGTACATGGGCATCATTGTATTAATTGTACATGGGCCTCATTGCATCAATTGTACATGGGCATTATCGTATTAATTGTATATGGGCATCATTGCATCAATTGTACATTGGCCTCATTGTATTAATTGTACATTGGCCTCATTGCATCAATTGTACATGGGCCTCATTGTATTAATTGTACATTGGCCTCATTGTATTTTTCATTGTACATACTTAACTGATCCGCCGACTCTAAATTGCAGATTAAAAGGTCATATTTTGAGGTCATATTTCTGTTTGCTAGCCTGACAACAAAGAAAATTACTGAATGAAGAAGTGCTCCTTGTGGGTTAGTAGAAGTAGAATTTAGGGCTACTTCAGAGGTCCATCGTCAGGGTGCGGTTTGTTCGAAAGTGTTACTTCCCTTCTCATATTGATCGGCTTGAAAGAGTTCTTTTTCAACTAAATTGAAACTTGGTGGAAAGGTCAGAATTTTGTTGCACATTTGTAAATTATTTGGGGGGTGGCAGATCTGTAATCAAAGTACTGTATAAAGCACTGATTTGTTTAGTTTGTTATTTGAGCCGTTGTGCCATGTTATATCTAACTTTTGCTTTTGTATACATTTTCTGTATTTTTCTCTATGATCATGTTATTTAACTCTGCTCTTCTGAGTCGGCTCTGTGTAAATAGCTTGAATTTTGTTGAATGTTTAATATTGAAAATTCTTCCTTTATCTCAGGATGTCTCCATAGTGTAGTGGAGGAATGTTGGATCAGTGGCTCCATAACCAGTGACGACGTTACAAGATGGTACTTGTTGCCAAGTTACTGTGCCAGAAATCAATGTGGGTTTGAATCCCAGATTACCTAATTGTTTCTTGGTTTGTCAGCACCATACCCATACTAGTTGGTTTCACCTTAGTGATAAAGTTGACATGATGTGATAACTAAAATACTGTTCAATGCGGCATCAAAACCCTATTCTTAGCTCCAAATACTCTTCCTATTTGTGTAAAATATATCACCATTACCCAATTAATTATTAATTGCTTCCTATTCAGATTGTTAATTACTGAGAGGGTGACGGCATGTCACAAAAATGAATGTTTAAAAAATGTCTTCTGATTGGTGTAAAAATACCCCATAGATTGGACCAAAGGGAGTAAAAATATATTGATCTCCAATGTGAATGATAACGTGTGAGTAAATACCCAATTTGGATCCCTGTTTATATCTTATTTTGAAATCATGTTGACATTACTTCCCTACGCAATAATTGTTTGTTTATATCATCACTACAGATGTAGTTGAACATTTCAGCTTCACGGGCACATTATTGGTATGACCTCCTTTTGCATGTGGTTGTTTGCAGTTAATATCATTTGCTTCAAGATATTATAACTTTGTATATAGCGGTGTCAATAAAATGTCAATCAATATGATATAGTGCCTGTTGTCCTTGGTAGATATAAATCTGTTTATACAGATGTCTTTGATTTGCATCCTTTCTGTTCAAGAAGGAAAGGAGATTTTACAAGTGCTTCAAGCGAAGCTGAATTTTAATTGAGGGTAACATGCACAGACGTGGAACCATTTCACAGTATCACAGCCTTTGGTTCGAATGGGGCTCAGTCATCTAAGGACTGAATTTGCTGTGCGCCTCTCGGGTGTGCCAGAAACCTATGATCATGTGTTTGAATCACATATTCGTGCGAGTGTGTCTGTTTGTCAGTAAGGTCCAACACCGCTTTGACCAGTGCTCCAGTTATATCACGCTGTGTCAGTTTTAGGTAGGAGAAAAGGCTAAAGTAATGCAGGTCTCAGATGTTTGCTGCTTTGTTAAAACCCAAGAGCACGGGTATTATGCTGAAAACATAATTGGGACGTACGAGGATTCGAACCCACAATCATAGGGTTCTGTTGCAACAAATGGACACAACTCTGCTTTTTACTTGCCTTGAATTTGCCTAAAGGTGTCTTGAAAAAACAACAATGAACCTTGATGGCTTGGATCGTTGCTCATAGTATCAATCACTGGACTGTCCGGTCCAGACAATTATAAGTACAACAAAGATCATGACAGTTGATAAATTTATTTTATTACATCACTAAGCCATCCGCTGTAATGCGGTCACTAAGCCATCCGCTGAAAAGCAGACACTTAGCCATCCGCTGTAAAGCGGACACTAAGCTCTCCGCTGTAAAGCAGACACTAAGCCATCCGCTGTGAAGCGGTCACTGAGCCATCCGCTGTAAAGCGGTCACTAAGCCATCCGCTGTAAAGCGGACACAAAGCCATCCGCTGTAAAGCAGACACTAAGCCATCTGCTGTAAAGCGGTCACTATGTCATTCGCTGTAAAGCGGTCACTAAGCCATCCGCTGTAAAGCGGACACTAAGCCATCCGCTGTAAAGCAGACATATGCCATCCGCTGTAAAGCAGACACTAAGGCATCCGCTGTAAAGCGGACACTAAGCCATCCGCTGTAAAGCAGACACTAAGCCATCCGCTGTAAAGCGGACACAAAGCCATCCGCTGTGAAGCGGTCACTAAGCCATCTGCTGTAAAGCAGACACAAAGCCATCCACTGTAAAGCAGACACTAAGCCATCCGCTGTAAAGCGGTCACTATGTCATTCGCTGTAAAGCGGTCACTAAGCCATTCGCTGTAAAGCGGTCACTAAGCCATCCGCTGTAAAGCGGTCACTAAGCCATCCGCTGTAAAGCGGTCACTATGTCATTCGCTGTAAAGCGGTCACTAAGCCATTCGCTGTAAAGCGGTCACCAAGCCATCCGCTGTAAAGCGGTCACTAAGCCATTCGCTGTAAAGCAGTCACCAAGCCATCCGCTGTAAAGCGGTCACCAAGCCATCCGCTGTAAAGCGGTCACCAAGCCATCCGCTGTAAAGCAGTCACTAAGCCATCCGCTGTAAAGCGGTCACTAAGCCATCCGCTGTAAAGCGGACACTAAGCTATCCGCTGTAAAGCGGACACTAAGCCATCCGCTCTAAAGCGGTCACTAAGCCATCCGCTGTAAAGCGGTCACTAAGCCATCCGCTGTAAAGCGGTCACTATGTCATCCGCTGTAAAGCAGTCACTAAGCCATCCGCTCTAAAGCGGTCACTAAGCCATCCGCTGTAAAGCGGTCACTAAGCCATCCGCTGTAAAGCGGTCACTTAGCCATCCGCTGTAAAGCAGACACTAAGCCATCCGCTGTAAAGCAGTCACTAAGCCATCCGCTGTAAAGCAGACACTAAGCCATCCGCTGTAAAGCGGTCACTAAGCCATCCGCTGAAAAGCAGACACTAAGCCATCCGCTGTAAAGTGGACACTAAGCTCTCCGCTGTAAAGCGGACACTTAGCCATCCGCTGTGAAGCGGTCACTGAGCCATCCGCTGTAAAGCGGTCACTAAGCCATCTGCTGTAAAGCAGACACTAAGCCATCCGCTGTAAAGCGGACACTAAGCCATCCGCTCTAAAGCGGTCACTAAGCCATCCGCTGTAAAGCGGTCACTAAGCCATCCGCTGTAAAGCGGTCACTATGTCATCCGCTGTAAAGCAGTCACTAAGCCATCCGCTCTAAAGCGGTCACTAGGCCATCCGCTGTAAAGCGGTCACTAAGCCATCCGCTGTAAAGCGGTCACTTAGCCATCCGCTGTAAAGCAGACACTAAGCCATCCGCTGTAAAGCAGTCACTAAGCCATCCGCTGTAAAGCAGACACTAAGCCATCCGCTGTAAAGCGGTCACTAAGCCATCCGCTGAAAAGCAGACACTAAGCCATCCGCTGTAAAGTGGACACTAAGCTCTCCGCTGTAAAGCGGACACTTAGCCATCCGCTGTGAAGCGGTCACTGAGCCATCCGCTGTAAAGCGGTCACTAAGCCATCTGCTGTAAAGCAGACACTAAGCCATCTGCTGTAAAGCGGTCACTAAGCCATCTGCTGTAAAGTGGTCACTAAGCCATCCGCTGTAAAGCGGACACTAAGCCATCTGCTGTAAAGCGGTCACTAAGCCATCTGCTGTAAAGCGGTCACTAAGCCATCCACTGTCAAGCAGAAACTAAACCATCCGCTGTAAAGCGGACACTAAGCCATCCGCTGTAAAGCAGACACTAAGCCATCCGCTGTAAAGCGGTCACTATGTCATTCGCTGTAAAGCGGTCACTAAGCCATGTGCTGTAAAGGCGACACTAAGCCGTCTGCTGTAAAGCGGTCACTAAGCCATCCGCTGTAAATCGGACACTAAGCCATCTGCTGTAAAGCAGACATGAAGCCATCCACTGTAAAGCGGACACTAAGCCATCTGCTGTAAAGCAGACACTAAGCCATCTGCTGTAAAGCGGTCACTAAGCCATCTGCTGTAAAGTGGTCACTAAGCCATCCGCTGTAAAGCAGACACTAAGCCATCTGCTGTAAAGCGGTCACTAAGCCATCTGCTGTAAAGCGGTCACTAAGCCATCCGCTGTAAAGCAGACACTAAACCATCCGCTGTAAAGCGGACACTAAGCCATCCGCTGTAAAGCAGACACTAAGCCATCCGCTGTAAAGCGGACACTAAGCCATACGCTGTAAAGCGGACACTAAGCAATCCGCTGTAAAGCGGACACTAAGCCATCCGCTGTAAAGCGGACACTAAGCCATCCGCTGTGAAGCGGTCACTGAGCCATCCGCTGTAAAGCGGTCACTAAGCCATCCGCTGTAAAGCGGTCACTATGTCATTCGCTGTAAAGCAGACACAAAGCCATCCGCTGTAAAGCAGACACTAAGCCATCCGCTGTAAAGCGGTCACTATGTCATTCGCTGTAAAGCCGTCACTCAGCCATCTGCTGTAAAGCGGTCACTAAGCTATCCGCTGTACAGCAGACATGAAGCCATCCACTGTAAAGAGGTCGATATGTCATTCGCTGTAAAGCGGTCACTAAGCCATCCACTGTAAAGCAGACATTAAGCCATCCGCTGTAAAGCGGACACTAAGCCATCCGCTGTAAAGCGGACACTAAGCCATCTGCTGTAAAGCAGACACTAAGCCATCTGCTGTAAAGCAGACATTAAGCCATCTGCTGTAAAGCGGACACTAAGCCATCCGCTGTAAAGCGGTCACTATGTCATTCGCTGTAAAGCTATCACTAAGCCATCTGCTGTAAAGCAGACACTAAGCCATCCGCTGTAAAGCGGACACTAAGCCATCTGCTGTAAAGCGGACACTAAGCAATTCGCTGTAAAGCGGACACTAAGCCATCCGCTGTATGGCGACACTAAGCCATCCGCTGTGAAGCGGTCACTGAGCCATCCGCTGTCAAGCGGTCACTAAGCCATCCGCTGTAAAGCGGTCACTATGTCATTCGCTGTAAAGCAGACACAAAGCCATCTGCTGTAAAGCAGACACTAAGCCATCCGCTGTAAAGCGGTCACTATGTCATTCGCTGTAAAGCGGTCACTCAGCCATCTGCTGTAAAGCGGTCACTAAGCTATCCGCTGTACAGCAGACATGAAGCCATCCACTGTAAAGAGGTCGATATGTCATTCGCTGTAAAGCGGTCACTAAGCCATCCACTGTAAAGCAGACATTAAGCCATCCGCTGTAAAGCGGACACTAAGCCATCCGCTGTAAAGCGGACACTAAGCCATCTGCTGTAAAGCAGACACTAAGCCATCTGCTGTAAAGCGGTCACTAAGCCATCCGCTGTAAAGCAGACACTAAGCCATCTGCTGTAAAGCAGACACTAAGCCATCCGCTGTAAAGCAGACATTAAGCCATCTGCTGTAAAGCGGACACTAAGCCATCCGCTGTAAAGCGGTCACTATGTCATTCGCTGTAAAGCTATCACTAAGCCATCCGCTGTAAAGCGGACATTAAGCCATCCACTGTAAAGCGGCCACTAAGCCATCTGCTGTAAAGCAGACACTAAGCCATCTGCTGTAAAGCGGTCACTAAGCCATCTGCTGTAAAGTGGTCACTAAGCCATCCGCTGTAAAGCGGTCACTATGTCATTCGCTGTAAAGCGGTCACTAAGCCATCCGCTGTAAAGCAGACATTAAGCCATCCACTGTAAAGCGGACACTAAGCCATCTGCTGTAAAGCGGTCACTGAGCCATCCGCTGTAAAGCAGACATAAGCCATCCGCTGTAAAGCAGACACTAAGCCATCCGCTGTAAAGCGGATACTAAGCCATCTGCTGTAAAGCGGTCACTAAGCCATCCGCTGAAAAGCGGACACTAAGCCATCCGCTGTAAAGCGGACACAAAGCCATCCGCTGTAAAGCGGACACTAAGCCATCCGCTGTAAAGCGGACACTAAGCCATCTGCTGTAAAGAAGACATTAAGCCATCCACTGTAAAGCGGACACTAAGCCATCTGCTGTAAAGCAGACACTAAGCCATCTGCTGTAAAGCGGTCACTAAGCCATCTGCTGTAAAGTGGTCACTAAGCCATCCGCTGTAA